GAGGGGGAAGGGGGAGGGGGAGGAGGAGGAGGAGCAGGAGGGCTGAAGGGAGGAGTTGGAGGAGGACGATGAGGAGGAGGAGGAGGAGGAGGAGGAGGAGGAGGAGGAGGAGGGTCCTCAGCGGAGGCTTTGGGTTGCCTGTACAACTCCACCGAGGCCCTCCTCCTGAACCAGGCGGCCATTCTGCAAGACGTGCCCGGCTCCCTGAAGCTGGCCGTCGGGGAAGCGCGTGAGGCGTCTGCCCAGGCCGTGCTCGACGCCACCACCGAGGAGGGGAAGCTGGGTGCCTGGAGATGCTTCTTCGCCGGCGTGGCTGAGAGAGTCGCCGGCCGCTTCCGCGACTTCCGGGACCGCAGGTGGGAAGCCCTACTACGGGACACAGCTGTGTCCACCAAAGCCGCGGCCGGCCCCAGCACCATGGGCGCGACTGTGCGGAAGGTCCGCCGTCTACTGTTGAAGGGCGAGATCTCCCGGGCTGCTTCCGCAGCGTGGGGGCCCGGCCAGTTGGCCACAGCTGCGGGTACGCTTCGGGCGTTCGGGTTGCAGCAGCACCCGCCGCAGCGGGACCCGCAATATTACCAGGGGGGATTGCCTGATCCCGTGGCTGCCGCACGTTTGCGAGAGGACGACTAGGCCTTCCTGACGAACAAGTGGACCAAGACACCCTGTGGTGCCGGCGCGGGGGTGCAAGGCGACCGCTTCGAGCATTGGCAGCCGCTCGCGCACCTCGAAGCAGGAGGGTCGGCCACCGCGGCAGCGCTCTCGATGCTCCTGGGCGGCGCCGTCCCGGCGGGGGCCCCAGACGTGGCTCTGGCAGGCAAGCTGCTGGACACGGCCAAGAAGGACGGCGGGACAAGAGTGTTGGCATGCGGAGCCATCGCGCGGCGCATGGTGGCCAGGGCCGTGTGCACCGTCCGCTCCGACAACATCCAGATGGCTGTCTCCGAGCTCCAGTACGGGGTCGGGGTCCCGTGCGGGCTCGAGACGCTGCACAAGAGCATCTCCGCAGATGCAGAGCAGTACCCACACTTGGCTTTGGTGTCGCTGGATTTCAAAAGTGCGTTCACCCGCATGCTTCGGAGGGCGATGCTGCGCGCGGGAGCGCTGCCCGTAGCTGGAGGGCCTGGTGGTGCAGTGGTACGGTCGTGCGACAGTGCACTCAGCTGCGGGGGCCGGCGGGGTGTCCCACCTGGTGGAACAGCAGGAGGGCCTCGACAAAGGGTGCCCCCTCAGCCCGGCGCTCTTTAGCATCGGCCTCGCTCCGGAGCTCTGCGCCTTGCGGGGCTTCCTGCGCACCCTGGACCCTCGCTGCAAGGTGTGGGCTTACCTGGACGACGCCTACCTGACAGTGCCGAAGGCCCACCTGCACTGGGCACTGGAAGCCGCAAGCGCTCTTTTTGCCGACTTAGGCTTCGAGCTGAATGCGAGCAAGACGAAGGTCTGGTGCCCAGACGGCCAGGTCACTGCGCTGCCTGACAGGACAGGGGCGTGGTATGTGGACGCACTGCCCAGCTTGGGTCGTACTGCGACCTTCGTCAGGGCCCAGCACGACGCGGACGACGAGGAGTGGAGGGACACGCTCGCAAGGGTTTTCGACGATACCTCCCCGGCCACCTCGGCCGCGCGGCTTCTTGCTGACTACGGAGAGGCGCTCGCCAAGCTGGAAGCGGCGGGGCTCGAGACATCACTGTTTCGCACTTCTCCGCACCTGCGTGAACGGCGCAGTGACTCACCTGCAGCGCGCCCGCCTTGCGCCGAGGGGGGCCTGGTGTTCTTTCGACGACGCGGTGGTGACGCAGGTCGAGCGCCTGGCCGGCCTGGGCCTCGCTGAAGACGGCCGCGCGGTCCTCTTCATGCCCGGGAAGGCATGCAGCTCGCCACCCTTAGAAGACCTCGGTGGCCACATGTGAACTCGACCCCCCCCCCACGATTTCTCAGGGGCAGTGGGGGTTCACTTCGCCCAGGAGCTCCCGAGCGGAGGGAACTCCCCCCTCCTTTGAATTGATTGGGGTAAATGTTTGGGGTTGGGGGTAGGGTCGGGTTCTGCCGGTTGAGCTGCTCGATGGATTTGCTGCAGATTATTGATTGGCTCCTCCTGGGCCGCCAACGACATATGGTGGATCGTGGCCGCACCCTCTTTTGGATCGCCCATAGCAGCTTCCAAAACTCCGGGAGCACGGCGTCGCACGTGTCGTGGTAGAAAATTCGGACTGAAATTTCCAGCTTCCGGCTAGTGAGGTGCACCACTAGATTGTTCGTCAGATTTTTTGTTTCAACCCACTCCTTCCTGTCTGCTAGATGATGGTCTTCAAGCCGCACTCGCTGACGCCATGGTCGGGCGTTAAAAGGTGGGACGATGGGCCAGGCCACAGGCGCGCCCCACGCGCGTGCGCGCTCGTAGGCTTGAGCGGAGGACGCGGAGGAGGAGGGGCAGAATAGGGAAGAGGACGAGGGAAGGGTGGGAGAGGATGGCAAAGGGGGGAAGGGGAATGGCAAGGGGGGTGCGGCTACGACGGCCAAGAGGGCGCCAAGCCGACGCTCGCCGAGGAGCCGGGGCGAGCAGCCGACGGACCCGCCCCTCCCCTTCGCCCGCTAGACCGATGAGATGGGAGGAGGGGAGGGATGAGGGCAGGAAACTACTGGAGGGGGCCCGCCCCAGACCTCCGGCCGTGTGTTTTTTTTTCGCAGCGTGGACCCCAGGAGCTCCTGAAGTCCCCAGGGCCCCGAGGAGTTCCTGCCCGGCCCCGTGGTCCTGTGAGGGCCCCCTGCAGGCCGACCGTCTCCAACATGTTTAGCGGTGTTGCGTAAGGGGAGGGGGTCGGTGAATTGGGGGGGGGTGAGAAGCAGGGTGCGGCTTGTGTGTGTGTGCGTGTGGGCATTTAGCGGGCCCTGAAGGGGCCCCCTGGGGCTCTGAAGAGACACGGAAGATACACGTTTTTATCGAGGATCATGAATCTCTAACCCTGATCACAGATTAAAGACGTGGCCTCATTGAGGGCCCTTCCTTGCATCAGGGATAACGTATCTGGGCGGTTAGGCTCGACACATCTGTAGAACATACCCCCCATAGTTCTAATTGTTCTGACCCTCCTAACTTAGGTCGCCTCCCCAAGGGTTCGGGTTTTTTAGTGCCTAATCACGCTTCTTCGCCCCACCCAATTGATCGTCCCTTTCCATTACTAGCAGCGCCTACAAAACCTCCTGCCACCCTTGCTGCCCACGACGAGAAGATGCCTTAGAAGAGGGGGGCCGCGGCGATGCGAGGCGCCGACGTTGTGCCCCTTGGGGGAGGGGGGGAGGGCGGACCCGGGCCCCACATGACCCCGGCCAGCGCGGGGGGGCCAATGAGCTAGGCCGTGCGCGCGCGGCCCTGGGGCCTCGCGAGTTCCGAGGAGGAAGAGGACTCAGACTGCTACCCTTGCCTAGTTTCCCGATTTTTTGGCCACCTGGAAGGCCTTCGTCGCCACCGCTGGATTCGCCGCGAAACTCTTGTCAGAACGCACCCTGGCAGAGGTCCAGGGAGGAGTGGCATTGGTTCCTCTTGGTTTCCCCACGAGTGCCGCGGCCAGCACGCCGAGCACCTCCGAGACCGTCCGGCTCCGAAGCTCCGCGGTTGCGACGATTTCGACGGCGGCGGTGGCGGCGGCGACGACCACGACGTGGACGACTGCTGCTGCCGCTGATGATGATGATGATGATGATGATGATGATGATGATGATGATGACGATGATGACGATGATGATGATGATGATGATGATGATGATGATGATGATGATGATGATGATGATGATGATGATGATGCTGATGATGATGATGATGATGATGATGATGATGATGATGATGAAGATGATGATGATGGTAATGATGTGTTGCTGCTGCTGCTGCGACTTCGGCAGCAGTTGCGGCTGCGACCTGTGACGGCGACGCCGACTAGGCCCGCCCGACAGCCCTCGAGAGCTCTCTGGAGGCCCTCACGGGCCCTGAGAGGGCCAACAGCTGAGACCCTCCATCGCACCTCGAACCCCCAAGCTTCGATCCTCCTCGACGCGACAACGATGACGCGCCGCGCCAGCGCGCCAGGCATCTCCGAGGTGCTGGAGTCGCGGCAGCAGGCCCAGGCCGGCCACCTCGGAGAGCTGCGCGCGTTCCAGCGGGAGTGCCAGGACGCCGCCCTCTTTGAGGCAGCCCGGGCCTCCACGGAGGTCTTCGGGGGGCAGGCCTCGAACTCACGATTAAAAGATCGTCCCGAAACCTGGTAATATAATAGACCGATATCAGGTCTCTCGAAGCTGCAGATTAAAGCTTTCGAGGCTGCTAGGTCGATTTCTGTAATGGAGAGTTCCGTAGCTGCTCTAAATCTTGAGATCAAATCCGCCAGCCGAGCGTGCGCAAATACAATGATCGCAGGGTCAATTACCACCCAGACACTTGTCCCCCTTCAAGGCGATATGATCAAGTCGAGATCAAGGTGGCGAGCAGGAATAAGTTCCAAGTTGCCCGGAAAAAGATGCCCCACCCCAAACGAATTGTCAAAGCCAGCGGCCTCCAGCCTTTCGGGCCTGGCCATTTCCGGTTCCATGTTGCCAGCAGCCCGCAATCGGCCAGGTCACCACTGTGCTCCAACACATGCCCGTGCCGACGACGACCTGGTGGGTCCGATCCTCTGACGCGTCCCAGGGGTCATCCACCCACTGCTTCTCCTGGGAGGTGCATGACGGCACGCCCGAGCACGCCTCTCAAGGGGTCGTCGGAGTGCTCTCGAACGGCCGCGGCGCCTGGCACACACTCCATGACCGCCGGATCTCAGAGCCACGCCCCCGACTTGCCCTGTCCGATCTGGCCCCCGTCCTGGCTCCGTCTCCCTCCTCCCGGCCCTCGCCGTCTCGGCTCCAGGGCTCCCACGCAGAGCCGGCCCTGCCTGCCAGACGCGCAGGCAGGGCTTCGCCAGCCCGGAGGGCACAGCGGCGCGATGAGGTGGGCGCGCTTCGCGTCTCTCCTGCCGGGGGGAGAGGGGCCCAGAAGTGCTCGCGTCGCGACAGAAATCACGACGGGTTTCTGCCGTTTCCGGCCTCTGGGTGCCCTCGATGGGCCCCAGGGCCGTCAGACAACAATTCGGGATCTCGGGATGACAAGCCGGTCCCGAGGGAGGGGTCGGGACTTCCGGGGACCCCGTATTGAAAAATGAGGACGTCGAATGTTTGGGGAAGGGGATGGGGTGGGGGGCGGAATCTGCTGCGTGCAGCTGGTTTCGGCCCCGCCGCGGGGCCCTCTGTACATACGTTGGCGCCTCCGGCGGTGGGAGGCGCGGGGGAAATCAGCTAGACAAGCTGATTCGCTAACCCCTCCTTTCCTAATCCCGTTTCGCCCGACCTGGCAATCCACACGTCGTGGACAAGAATCCAGCGGCAGGTTTTTGGCAGTTTTCGGCCTCTGGCACCATGACAGTCGAAGACCAACTTGCGATGAGAGATTGGGCCTGAGGTCGAGGCCCAGTCCTCTCGGGGTCTAATTACGCTTTGAAAGAAACACGGCGTCAGAGGTATGCCCCTCCATTCCCCCCAATAGGGGGAATCGAGGGTCGAGGTTACGGAGCGTCCTCGGCGTCGCTGCCTTTGGAGGTTTGTTTGTGCGTCCTTGGGGGTTCTCGTGGCCACGGCCCTGGCGCGGCTCGAGAATCAGGCCAGGATGTGCCCTGGGAGCTGGTGACAAGCGAGCGCAACTGTCGCCACCCTCGCGGGCTCCTGGGAGGTCCAGCGGAGCGACGCCCCACGCGCATCCAAATGCGAGCTCGCCTGTCTGGAGGCTGCCAGCGGCTCAACTGTCGCCACTCTCGCGGGCTCCCGTTTGAGCAGTTCTGTTCATCGTCACCTGTTGGTGCTTCGCAGGATTTTGTTTTTCACGGCGCCCGCAGTTTTGGGCCCGGCGGGGGTCACACATCGATCCCCAGGCCTCTCCTGGGATGCGTTCTGGCCAGAGTGTCGAAGCCAATCCAGCCGTGGCGACGAGAAGCCCCCGGGAGGCCCCCAAACGCCTCCGTCCTCGAAGCTCGAGGTTGGGACCCTGCCCCCGAAGACCTCCGAACCCCTCCGAAAACCACAGACGGACGCGTTCTGGCGTGCGTTCTGGCCAGAATCACGGTGCGGGCCCAGCCGTGTCGGCGAGGAGGCCCAGGGCGGGCCGAAAACCCTCTTCGAACCTCCAGCCCTCGATCCTCGAACCCTCCAGCGTTGATCCTTGACCCCCGAGCCCTCGAGGCCCTCCGAAGGCCTCTCCAAAAACTCTCGGGCGAGCCCCGCCCCCGAAGGTGCTCGCGCGGGCGCCTGCTTCTGGCCCTGCTCACGGCGCTCGCGCGGCGGGGCGCGGCGGAGCAGCCCCCGCCCGCTGGCCCGGACTGCGAGCCGGGGGAGGTCTCGGCCTTGCCGGGCCGCTCAAAGCCTCAGACCCTGGCGCGGCTCGGTGCGGTATCGAGTCCTGGGAACTTTGTGCACTCTCGCAGTTCCGTCCGTTACCGTCGGTGTAGCGTCGATGCAGCGCCGATCAGCGTCGACTAGCGTCGATTAGCATCGATATGTGCGAGGGCCAATATCAGGGTATGGGTGGTCTGGGTCCCACCAGGCCGCCCGAGCGACAAGGGAAAGACTCGGCCAGGCGGAACTCGGCCAGGCCGAGTTCAGCCAGCCGAGTTCAGCCTGGCCAAGCTCAGCTGGCCGAATTGAGCCTGGCCGAGCCGGGGGAGGTCTGGGCCCTGCTGGGCCCCTCAAAGCTCGAGGAGGGGATCGACTACAACATCGATTAACCCGAAAATGTTGCTCTCTCAATGGAAGATGTTTTTGTTGTTGTTGTTGTTGTTGTTGTTGTTGTTGTTGTTGTTGTTGTTGTTGTTGTTGTTATTGTTGTTGTTGTTGTTGTTGTTGTTGTTGTTGTTGTTGTTGTTGTAGGTTCGATGAGGAAGTCGAGTTGTAGTCGATCCCCCACGCGGAAAGCTTCAGGTCTTGGCGTGACCATTTTTGTCACACAGGGCGTTTCCGCACGGCTTCGGGCCCCGTGGCCCTCGCAGGTCGACCCGGCGCGACGCAGGAAGACGGGGCCTCGGGATCTGGTCGCGTTTTTTCTTGTTCGTGGTGTTGCCATTTTTTGGCAGCGTCGGATCTGATGGAACGGCGGGGGAGAGACTCGGCCAGGCGAAGCTCGGCCAGGTTGATCCCGGCGAGGCCGAACTCGGCTTGGCCGAACTCGGTTGGCTTGGGCCGAATTCGGCATGGGCCGCCCGAGCGACAAGGGAAAGACAAGACTCGGCCAGGCGGAACTCGGCCAGGCCGAGTTCAGCCGGCCGAGTTCAGCCTGGCCAAGTTCAGCCGGCCGAGTTGCGCCTGGCCGAGCTGAGCCTGGCCGAGTGTAGCTGCCGCCAGACGAGGCGTTCCAGACGGCCTCGCCCTTCCCAGGTGCTCTGCTACCCCGAAAGCTAGAGAGCGGCGTTGATTCTTCCCGCGTAGCATCCACAAATGCGGAGCCGCGGCGCCCGCCAACACGGGATGTCTCGGCCTTGCCGGGCCGCCCAAACCACCCCACGGCTCCCTTCGGCGTATGAGCCCGTTCGGCCGCCGGAGGGGCAGCCCAACGGGATCAGCTCCGACAGGGTCGAGAAAATCGAGCCCGCTCGGCCGCCGAGTGGGCCCGATCGTGGGGAACTCATTTTGAATGGCACGCGGGCAAGTAAGAGCGAACAGTCTTAGAATGGTTGTTGTTGTTGTTGTTGTTGTTGTTGTTGTTGTTGTTGTTGTTGTTGATGTTGATGTTGATGTTGATGTTGTTGTTGTTGTTGCTGTTGTGGTTTGTTGCTGCTGCTGCTGCCGCTGATTAGTTTTCCGGTTGAGGCTTCTGGTTGTTCTTGGAGGTTTTCTCGCCTCGGGCGGCCGCAGTGGTTTTTTCCCCACATCCAAAGTGGGGTTCTTGTTTTCTCTGCACACGCCGCGCAGGATCTCACCCCCCCTTTCCTTTCTCTCTCTCTCTCTCACACACACTCACCATCATCACCATCATCATCACCATCAACCACCATCATCGTCATCACACGCACACACTCATCATCATTACCATCATCATCACCATCAACCACCATCACCGTCATCACTACTCATCATCATAATCCTTCATCACTTCTCATCATCATAATCCTCATCATCATCATCGTCACCATCATCACCACTCGATCACCCACTTACTCACTCAATTACTCACTCATCCTCAGTAGGCTTCGGAGGCAGTGGTCCTCCGACGGTAGGACCGCCGCCACTCTCAACATCATCGTCACCATCTCCATCATAATCTCTCGACCACCCACTCAGTGGCCATCATGATCATCATCAGCATCATCATCACTTATTCTTCACACACTCATCATCATCCTCATTCACTCACTCATCATTTCGTCATCACTCACTCCCTGGCTTAAATATGGAGGTAGTATCAGGCGGGAGCCTCGTCTGTGAGTGAATTGTGAGGAAGTCTCAGGCGGGAGCCCCTCCCTATGGGGCCCGCACCTCATGTTTTTAATCCGAGGCGGGTCATCCGAAACGTGTAACTGTCGTCACTTTTGGGCCCCTGTGGCGAGAATCTGGAGGAAGTATCAAGCGGGAGCCTCGTCTGTGAGTGAATTGCGACGAAATCTCAGGCGGGAAGCCTCTCCCTATGGGGCCCGCACCTCATGTTTTTAATCCGAGGCGGGTCATCCGAAACGTGTAACTGTCGTCACTTTTGGGCCCCTGTGGCGTGAATCTGGAGGAAATATCAAGCAGGAGCCTCGTCTGTGAGTGAATTGCGGCGAAGTCTCAGGCGGGAAGCCTCTCCCAATGGGGCCCGCACCTCATGTTTTTATCCGAGGCGGGTCATCCGAAACGTGTAACTGTCGTCACTTTTGGCCTCCGGAGGGCTTGAATAAGGAGGATGTATCAGGCGGGAGCCTCGTCTGTGAGTGACTCGCGAGGAAGTCACAGGCGGGAGCCCGCCGGTCTGTCCCCGCGGGAGTCCCCGCGCTGAGCCAGCTCGAAGCATGCGAGCTGGAGCCGAGGCGCAGGAGGAGAAGGAGGAGGAGGAGGAGGAGGACGAGGAACAGGAATTGAGGAGGACGACGGCGGCCGGGCGCAGGGGGAAACCCTTGCGTCCGGGCCGGGGGTGGTAACCCATCCTCGGCCGAAGCGGCGGCCGGGCGCAGGGGGAAACCCTTGCGTCCGGGCCGGGGGTGGTAACCCATCCTCGGCCGAATCGGGGGCAGGGGTAACCCCTTGTCTCCGGGCCGCCGGTGGTAACCCATCCTCGGCCGAATCGGGCGCAGGGGGGAACCCTTGCGTCCTGGCCGGGGGTGGTAACGCATCCTCGGCCGAATCGGAGGCAGGGGTAACCCCTTGTCTCCGGGCTGGCGGTGGTAACCCATCGTCAGCCGAATCGGGCGCAGGGGGGAACCCTTGCGTCCGGGCCGGGGGTGGTAACCCATCCTCGGCCGAATCGGGGGCAGGGGTATACCCCTTGTCTCCGGGCTGGTGGTGGTAACCCATCGTCAGCCGAATCGGGCGCAGGGGGGAACCCTTGCGTCCGGGCCGGGGGTGGTGACCCATCCTTTGCCGAATCGGGGGAAGGGGTAACCCCTTGTCTCCGGGCTGGCGGTGGTAACCCATCGTCAGCCGAATCGGGCAGAGGAGCCGTCAGACGACGGCGCAGATTCTCTGTTTTAAAAGCGCCGTCAGCCGACTGCGGCGGCGACTGCGCCCGCGACCGGGTACCGACCGCTGGTGACCGCAGCGCGCGAGGAGAGACACGCCTGGGCAAACCTGCATGACGAGCGCCTCCAGGGCAATCGCGACGAGGACGATGCAGGCGCTCCGGACGGCGAGGACGAGGGCGCAGGCGGCCTGGGCGGCGACCCCGCTGCGGCCAGTTTTGCCAGCAGCGTGTACTCAACGCCCAGCGCGTACATCGCCGCCCTGGTCGCTGGGTTGCCGGAGAACGAGAGACTCACGCGGGACCAAACGCTCTTCGTCGCCAAGTTCGCCAAGGCCTGCGACGACGCCTGGGAGGACGACGTGCAAAAGAAGCCCTGGAGCGAGAGAAAAGTGACGCACTTGCTCCTGTTGGGCCAGGGCGGCTCGGGGACGACGCACGTGGTGCAGAAGATCGTCTTCCCAGTGGTGGAGTTCTTGCGGCCCTCGTCGGCGCAGGACAAGGGCGCCATGATGGTCGTGGCCTTCTCGAGCGCGCAGGCGAAGAACATCTCCACGGAGACGGTGAAGGCCAGAACGCTGCACAACGCCTGCGCCCTGCGAGCCCAGAAGTACATCAACGCGAAGATGAGACCAGGGGGCATGCAGAAGAGGTTGCAGTGGTTGTGGGAGCACTTCCGCGTCCTGGTCATCGAGGAGGTAAGCATGGTGGCAGCTGTTCTTTACAACGCGCTGGACCTTCGCGCCTGCCACGGGCGCAGTGACACGCACGACGTGCAGGAGTCCACCTACAAGAGGCCGCGCCACCACTTCGGCCGCGTCCCCATCGTGTTGCACCTCGGGGATTTCCTGCAGCTGAAGCCCACCGGCAGCATCGGGCTCTTGACGGACGTGAACGAGCTCCTGGACGACGGGTCGTACAAGTACGCGGAGCCGCCGACGGTGGAGATCCAGCACGCCATCAGGGTCTTCTCGCAGATCCCCTTGCGTCTTCGAGCTGAAGGGCACAAAGCGCTTCGAGCCGGGGGACCCTCTGATCGCGTTCTTGGGCTACGTGCGCGAGGGCAAGCGCTTCCCACCAGAGGTCTGGTCTGCCTGGGAGAAGACGTTGGCCTCTGGCAGCCACGGCGTCCTGGACCCGCGGCGCCAGCGCGAGAATTTCCGGCTCGGCTACGGCATGGGCATCTACTGGGAGACGCTGGCGAGGTGGATCAACACGCGCGCTCGTCGCGACGCGCGGCGCCTCGGCGTCCCCCTCGTCTTCCTGCAGGCCGTAGACGAGTGCGGCACGATTCAAGGCGACCCAGACGCAGGCCGGCGCCTCCTGAACGTCCCGAACATGCGCAAGACGGGGGACATCCACGGCGTCTTACCGGCACGCGTCGGCATGGAGGTCCGGTTCACGGCCGTGCAGGAGGAGCTGAAGAAGAAGTTGGGGCTCGTGCAGGAGCAACGGGCCACCATCGTGTCCTTCGAGTTTCGCGCAGACGACGAGCGGGACTACGAGGGGTGCGCGCCGGGCCAGCTCTTCCGCCCCCGCTACCTACCGCAGGGAATCTGGCTGCAGGTGCACGGCTTCCAGGAGTCCCCGATCTACAAGGAGGTCGCCGAGGTGCTGCAGCAGGGCGCCGACGGCGCTGCCGACGACGCCGAGGCCGAAGCGCGGGCGAGGAGCTTGCTCATGTTCAGGCCCAGCGAGCAGGAGTTCACGTTGCAAAGCTTGGGGGCGCACGCTGTGCGCCGCTCGGGGTTCACCCTGACGCGTGCGTCCTACCTGGCCCCCACGCTGTCGCAGGGCCAGGCGCTGCGCAAGGGCGTCACCGTCGACTGCGCCAGGGATGGGGGCGCTGGCCGCGCGGGCATGTCGGACGAGATGTGGTGGCTGCGCCTCTACGTCATGTTCTCCCGCGCCACGTGCATGCGGAACATGCCGATCCTGCGGCCGCCCGCGCGAGAGTTCCCGGAGCGCGGGCCGCCGGCGTCGCTGCGGAAGGCGCTCCAGGAGTTCGACGAGAGAGCGGTGGACTCCGGGGCTGAGCTGGGCCTCGCGCTGCCGCCCGCCTGAGCGCCGCGGCGCGCACCTGGAGGCCCGCGGGGTTGTCCCAGCGGCTGGCTCCCGCGCTCCTGCGGCCTGCGAGGTTGCCCCGACGGCCTGGCCCGAAGGGTTGTCACGGCGGCTTCGCGATCTAGCCGTCGGCAAACGCGCGCATGCTGGCCGACGCGGCGACGGCGCCGAGGGACATCGAGTTGCTTGCCACGACCAGGGGGGGCGGGAGGTGCACATGGAGAAGAGGCATGAGGATGAGGAGGGAAGGGGCATGCGGGAGGGCGACGACGAGGAGGAGGTGGCGCGAGAG